GGGGTTTCAATCTCTCGCTGTGCATTTCGTTTGTGTCCTTGAGCAAGGTACATATATATCTGCAAAAATGTTGCTTCTCTCCACCCAGCAGTATGAATGGGTACCTGGTAGTAGTAGAGTTACCTGCTCCTACACTATGCTGATTCAGCAGCAACACTACAGTATTAAGCACGTCGACTAAATGAACACGGAAAAAAGTTTTGTAACCTGAATGAATGGGCGCCATAAAATATGAACTACACAAACTATATAAAAAAACTTGATGACAAAATATAATGCCACTGAAGTATAACACAAAATGTCCACTGTATGCAAGGTGTGGCTGCTGACAAAAGCTAAGTAGTCCAGAAGAATTTTTTTCCCCAAACAAAAAAATTAAACCACTGTAAACCCCTATAGTATGTGTACTGCCCGCCAACCATCTCTGGCAAAAAAACTAAAACCAGTGGTTTAAGCCCGAAACCTATAGTATTCGCCTGTTTAAAAGTAGGTAAGTAATAACAAATCTGAGTATTGTAATCCACTTTTTTTTATAAGATTTTGCCCAAACACAGTATTCTCATTTTTTTGCCCATTTCAGGCTCAAAATGTTCTTTATTTATGTTACTAACTTTTCAAATACTAAATTATTAATTATTGCATCAGTATACACTGAACTAGATTGTAGGTAAAAGCAGGGAGGTATGTGGCCCTGGAAAAATGGCCCGTGGAAAAGAAAGCCCCTGAAAAAATGTCCCCAGAAAAAAGGGCCCGGTCAAAATGGCCCAAATTATAGAGATTACACTATTACATAGTCACACATACAGTACATGTACAGATATAATTTTTTGGGTTTTCTAGTTTTTTCAATAAAAATCTCGTTTGACATTTTACCTTAGTCTCAATTTGTTTTGTATTTTCTTTATTTTTGATTATCAGTAATTTCAGCCTCAGTGTTTTTTTAAAGTAATTGCGGTGAGACAAATAACAAATCTTGAGAAACAATGAAATTCATCAGTATGAACTCTTTCAATTGACATGAATAAGAAAATATTTTTCTAGCACTTTACAGTATTAAATACTGTATACAATAATCTGATACTTTAACTGGCCGGTAACAGTAAAAAATTTAATCAGCTACAGTATCAATTGAGCAATTCAATGGATACTTCATTTTTTAGGATTTCAAGTCTTCCCTACAAAGACTTGCTATAAGAACCATGGAATAACTCAAAGCAAGCCAATTATGAATTTCTTTTTCCATCATGAATATTCATTATTCATTACAGTATAGGTCGTTTCCAGATATTTAAATCGTTTTAACCTTGAATTTTCAACATAACACAAACAATATTGCTAATTCATTTAAATGTGAACATTCAAAATGCATGTTATTGAAACTGTACCACAGCAGGCAGTGGCGTAGGAGTCTCAAAATTAGGAGAGGGGTGATGGGGGTGCATAGTTGGAGTGGTGACATGATTATTACAGTAAGTAGGAGGGGGGGGGGTTGTGAATTTGTAAACTAAATTTATTTAACTACTTTAATTTCTATGGTTTCTTGGCTTTGGACATTTTCAATGAGGGGAAGGGGACGGGGGGGCTCAAGCTTATGTTCCCCCCGCACACCCCTAGATGCCACTGACAGCAAGGCATGATACAATATGCTTTGGGAGAAAAAATTTTATAAAATTTAGTAGAAGTCTGTAACTGACATACAGGCAGAGTTACTGTATACTGTACACTGGCCAGCAATCCTTGACAGTTGTATCCACAACTAAAGAATTCTGAAAGACCATGTGGGTTTGAATGGCCTCCTGTACTACACGATATCCAACTAGCACAAAATTCACAATGAGTTTGTGGAATTCATGAAAACCCAAAACTACAAATTCTACAATTCAATCCAATTCAAAATAACATTTATTAATGTCTTATGTAGCATAATTATACAAAAAAGTACTTGTAATGTTCATTGAGGTGACTATGAAGAAAACAGCATTCAAAGGAAGGCAAAACGCAAGAGAAGTACGAAAATCTTGCGCTGGGCCAGCTAAAAAAAAACAACAAAAACACAGAGGAAAAAAAAAGAGAGAAAACAGAGCAGAACACAATAGACAGATGAAGATACAGGGACAAAACGGGAACAAGAAAAACAAACAAGAAAGCCAACAAGAGAACGTCAGTGCAAGGGAAATTTTGAAAATTAATACATGATTTGTAGCTCTTCACACTACTGGTCAAAAATTGGCATTCAGCCAAATGTACAGTACTCAATGTTGCTATGTAATTAGTTTTGTGCTAATGGAACGTCCCACGCTAACAGAAATTGAATTCATTTTTCTTCATTTCAAACACTGCATGTCTTTCCAGGAAACCATTTGCGTAGGATTTCTTTTGTTTTTTTAAACTCATTAATAAACTGATATAGTAAAATTTCACAGGAATAAACTCAAAATAATAAATGATTCGTTTTGAATGTCTGTATTAAACTGACTCAAGACTGAGCGTAGTGTATTTAATTTGCTCAAAACTGTATGTTCATTCTTTTATTCACTTTTATGTTGGTGTGCCGTCCATAAAGATTAACAACTGTCCATACCACTTCCATACAGTACTGTAGCACTCCAAAGCAGAGAACATTGGGACTAACGGCAACCATACTCCTAGGTGGAGAGAAGCAATGCAGATAAAGTGTCTCGTTGGGTGTTGTTCGACAAGGAAGACAACCAGCACCCAGACAGCCCCACCACCCGACAAAGGTCCAACGTTATCGGCCCGAGAATGCAGCAAAGCAAGCCAACACTTTGAACGAATTTTCAGTCAGTATACATAGAAACCAAATGAAATTATTTGAACATTTAAGAATATAAAAACAAAATTAAAAGAAAGCGTTTATGATTAAAGATACAACCCTCCGAAAAAGCAAAAAAAATTATTTTCACACTATGCTTTGGAGGATTTTTGAGGGCATCTACAGGTAACATAAAAAATGCTACCCAAATTTGAATGGTGCAGTATATTGAATGAGGGGCCAAATTTAAGTCTATGTAGCAATTTACAATTATCTAACTTCATTATTCCAGAAGATACAGCTTCGTATGATAAAGTATCTCAAAAATCAACTAAAATTTGCGCGGAAAATCGGTAGGAAAATAGGTGTACAGAATCATAAATACTGCACATTGTTTTATATTAATTTTTAAGAAAAATCTAATTTTTGTATAATGTTATAAAGATTTATAAATATAATACGGAATTGCTAGTTTAACTGAATTTAGACATTTCCTAAACATGAAAAAAAATGTAAAGCCAGGCGATTAAATCTGGTGGTGTTGATTCAGCATAATATAGTTATGCACATACCAGACTGAAGGCTTGCATGCCTTCCTACCTACCTACCTACCTACTACCTACGTAGGCCCCTCCTAGGCCTACCTATTTGTTCCAAGTTTTAAAATATTTTCATATAATTTATTTTAAATCATAATGTGTGTTCAGCAAAAATAAATGCAATAAAAAAATATGTAAAAAAATGACTTAAGAAGCTTTTATTATTATATTATTGTTTGAGCTTTGTATATAGGGGTGTTGAATTAAAAAATGCGTGACGTGAATGACACACCTTCAACATGCCTCCGTCGGAATATCTACTACTACGATTACGATGCCACATGTGTAGGCCTACGCTAGCCTAGGCCCACCATGATGATGATTGATGATAGCCAGTACATCAGTAACAAAGTCGTCTAGCTAGCTAGGGGGGCCTAGGCTACGATGAATAACTAAAAAAAGAGGTTGAAATGAAAATCAGTATCACATATCTGAAAGTACCAAAACAATTAGGCCTATATCTACCGTATATAATTGAAGAACTCCTGTGGCAGCTTGAATTTCCAAGTCAAAAAATTGATAAACACAACATGCACACTTCGCAATTTCTTGTAACGTGCCTCGTTTTTGTAATGAGGGCGCAATTTACAAAATTCATTCGAGTTGTCATTATTGATTATTGTTATTATATTAGGCCTATCCTGGTTTCCATCTCACACCACCTGTGTCAACCCTATCATCAACACACACGTAGCTAGGCCTAGCTGGCACTGGGGAGTGACAGAAGAATAAGCTGGGAGTTTGGAGAGAAGGACATTTAAAAATAAAATGCAGTTGCAGACACAAAAGAAACTAACAACTATAGCCACTTGGCTGTTCTGCTTGTTCGGTGGTATTGAGTACGGTAATAATAATATAGTTGGTCTTGTTTTCTAGCTAGGCCTTGGCCCTTCTTAGCCGGCCCTAGGCTAGGCCGTAGCCTACACAGTACAGTACGTAGTCATACAGAGTAGAGGGGGACTAGGGCCCTAGGCTAGTAGTAGGCCTAGGGCCCTAGTTTCTTTAGGTCTGATATGTTTTTCCAAGCACACATTCTTCGTTGGGCAATGCCACTTGCTGGTCGGCAGTCTAGTTGTAAACAGGTCGCGCCCCAAAAACTCTGCCTTGGTTGAGGCACCACATGATAAATTCAAAAAGTTGAATATTAAAAAAAATAGTACAAAAAACTACTCAATGTCAATATCATAAAAAAAAAACTTTATTGAGCCACTGTTTACGGTTTTATAAACATTCAAAGTTTCGAAGTTGCTTTGGACTTAAAAACTAACATCATAAGTTATCATTGTTTTGTGTTTCAAAATATTTTCACACTGCCCGTGACTCTCTTTAGTCTTTGTTTAAACTAGTAAATACTATTGCAAAGGTATCCTATTTGGACTCTTCTAAAAAAATTACTACTTAGTTTTAACTCGGCCACACATCTGTAATTAAACTCACCCCAAAGTCACGCAGCATCACGCCAATAATCATACCACATTGGTTTTGAGTTCCACAGTGCATCAACCTCAAAATTCTTTTTGTGTACTAATCTCTCCATAACCTTTTTATTGTCTGTCATTGATTGGGATCACCCACCTTTATCACACTGTAACCCACCGTATCGCACACATACTGTACATGCAAGATCTTCTCAGACCATGCTAATCAATTTATTTGCATATCAACCACAAGTCCATCAACTTTGTCTGTTCCTGGGTGTCATTCAAAAACATACTGTGAGCGATCATTCTGTGTTGCGGTTTCGATGATAACTGGACGACATGAACAGAAATCTCCGGTTGGCATAGTTGGAGCTGTAGAAAACTAGGATGGGTGATTAAGGGTTTGTGGGTGATAAACATTTTAATGATAAACTCGGCCACATGGCAGTGCATCCACAATTTTGCAAATTCAAGTTCACATACATACGTCTTCTTCCGATTAAACACGCCGACAATTAACAAAATTTAACACGAAATAGCCAAATTTAACGCAAATATAGTCCAAAGTTAACATGAAATAGACAAAGTTTTATGTGGCCCGGTCAAATGCCTACTACAGTACTGTCTTTTATCATTATTATTTGTTCCTTCTATTTAGACTCCCCTCTATTTAGAGACTGAAGACCATAGATTTGGCATGGTCAACTGAAAATTTTCCATTTAATTAAAAACCACTCTATAAAAGTAAATAGTGATGTTAATACAGGTAATGCAATTTTTATAATATATTTTGTTAAGAAAAAATATTAGATAATCACACGTGATGTTTTGTGTGGTCATTGTATAGTAATGGAAAGTTTGATCAAACGATTACAGGACTTGATGTCTGGCTACCAAGAAATGCTTTATAAAGAATAAATAACAACATGCATTATCAGGGGCGTACGGTGAAAAATCTAAGGGGGGGTCGAAACGAAAGCGCAGGGGGCAAGCTGAACTCGGAGCAATTTAACGAAGCTTTCAGAATTCGTGGGGTGCGTTATTTGTGAGTGAAGCGAGCAACTAGGCTGGGGCTAGGGGGCCGCAAAAGGGCAAAAATTTACGTTTTTACGTTCTAGTGCATTAAGTTAAATACCAAGTCTGACAAAATAGGCCTAATTGTAAACGTAGTTTTTGGGCAACACCAGACTATATTCACTCAATATACCACCAGCCTACCAAACATTTTTTATGTGAAGGATAATTTATTTTGATATCAACTACCTTCATGTTAGGCGCAGTTTAATTATGCAAGATTTTTTTTTAAAATCATATTTAAAAGGGCACTTTCTTTAAAAGGGGGGTCGACCGCACCCATCGACCCCCCCACGGTACGCCCCTGATTATGTCAGTGTATGTACAACCAATCTGAAGCATAATATGTATTTTTATTCTAATTTCCTTCTGAATAGAGAAATTTAAAGACCAAATTTAGTAGTGGTCTTTGTAGGGATTCTGCTAATAAATTCGGATAAAACAAGCACAGGTCTTTGTGTTGCTAAGTATCAAAAAATGGTTTATGAGTATAATCTGATAGCCGTCAAGCATTCAGTACAGTTGAACATGCCTAAAAGTGGAATCCAAAATGCCATTGAAAAATTGTTACTTAGATAAAATTTGACAATACAGATTGTGAATTAATGGAAAACATATCAATTTGACTAGGAAATTATTCCAGTTAGGCAGAGTGGACTTAGGCAAGTTTAACTATCCATTCAAAAAACACTTGGAATAAAACCTTCAAACACATTGTATCATGGTTTTGGCAGACTGAAAATTTTCCCTTCAAATGAAGAATACATTAATACAATATGTGATTTTAATGCAGGTTTTGAAAAGTAACTAAATGATGACGATATGACTATACATCAAAATAATACACAACATAGAAGATGATGTTTTATCAGTGCTCTACATTGAATAGGCCTGATAGTTTTAGTACAGCATGATGGGTGTTAATAGTATAGAGCATAATCATGGCAGACAGGGATTTTTTGTTATTTTTAGTGTACATTTTTTTTTAGTGTACATTGTTTTATTTACTTCACTTTTGGTACTGTGTTATTAATGTTGACCTTTTTCTGATTTAGAGGGGTGTGCATCACCCCCTCCTCTTCCACCCTCCTCTTTCCTCCTAGAAACGTGCCTGATGTATTTTCCAATAATTTATTTAATTTAATCTTGTATCATCTATTAAATTTGATTAAAATCTTTTTCCATTTATTTTTAAGCTGTCATCATTCCATCGCTGAACCTGTTTCTAGAGGATTTGGGTGCTCCGCAGTACTTTCTTGGCATCGTCCTCTCAGCATTTAGTTTCTCTGGTCTCTTTGCTGCCCCTGTGTTTGGTATATGGCAGGACAGGACTTCCAAAACAAAAGCAATCATTCTGTTTGCTAACATGTTTGAAATTGCTGGTATGTTTCCATATTTTTTTATTCCTTATTATAAACGATATTTATATTTATAAAATATTTTTTACCATTGGGAATCATTCACCAATGTCTTTCCTGAGGTATATAGCATAGTTTAAAAAAAAGAAATTCATTATTAAAACATCACTTGCTTTGAAAATGAAAAGGATTTATACTGTTGTGGACAGCAGTGTAATTTTACTGTGTTCTCCAGTGGCGAATCCAGGAATTTGAAATAGAGGGGAGGGGGGCCTATGGAGGGGCTTTTAATACACAGATAGAGTCTAGACCACCTGAGCCCCACTATGCTTGGGGCTGAGGTAAGATAAATTTATGATTTGTGGCACCTCTAGATGGCCGGCACTCTCAGACATAAATTTAATGAATATTTTCTTTTTTTCTCCATTTATAATTTTGAAAATTTTCAGGGAACTGGCTCGCCCCTCCCCCATTCCCCTTGAATCTGCCACTGTTTTCTGCACTTTTTAAGCTTAAAGGTTTAGCTTGTTTTAATTAGCAGTCATTAAATATAATGGAATTAAAATTTTAAAACAATATATATTGACAAAAAAGAAGAGTCCATCATGGACACATTCTCAAGATCAAGTGAACAACAATATACAAAAATAGACAAACCTAAGAAGGCAACATGGATTAAAAAGTCAAACGATTAATACCTACTCTGTTAATTGTTCCTAGCTACAGTATTTGGAGCTATGGTTCAAGCCTGGTTCTCACGAGAGCCCTAGTATCCAGATCGGGAGCTAACCATTAGCACATGTGTGAGAATGCCCGATCAGTTAGCGCTAACCGTTAGCGATATCCGGATACCGCTAGCGGTTAGCAACTGCTGTCGGTTAGCAAGTGAGCGCGTTTCTATCATCAACCAATCACAGGTACGCGGTTACAATTTCCAGTTTCTTATATTTTTGGTATCCGGATCGGGATTTTCTCGTATGGCTGCACGGCAGCTAACGGTTAGCAGGATCCGGATCCTGCTAACCATTAGCAGCCGTGTGAGAACATAGCCACTGATAAGCTGCATGCAAATTAATCTGCTAGATAAACAATTTTGCTTTAATAAAATCTGTTTGTTTGTTAAGAGATGGTTTTAAATCTTTAATCCTTAGCATTTCTTTAATGAGGCAGTCAAATTTTGATTTACATTTAAATAAAACACTGAAGTGGTTAAAATTGTATGGTTATTGTGAATAGTACAGTATGTTATTGTTTACAATTTATGTTCCATGCCTTTTGATAATCTATAAAATTAATAATGGTACTGTACTATACAGTACTGTAGAACCATTTCCTGACTCTCTGCAAAATGGCCCAGCTCCAAAGCAGTCTCTCTCCATCATCAAACATTGGATTTCAACGCTGAGTACAGTAGGCCTACAGGGTACTCTATATAAATTATAAGGCCTGCTTTCGGTAGGGTTTTACATTTTACTAAACGCACAACAACAATTGACTATATTGGTTTTCGTGTCTAAATGCGTTTGATTTTGAGACAAAAGTGCCATTGGGGGAGTGGTCTCGCAAATCTTATTTTACAGACCTGACGTCTTATTCACACTGAATCCGAGTTTCGGAATGCCTACTGAACCAATCAAATCAGTGTGTAAGAATGGATGCTGGCGTGCAGCGCATCGGAAACGGGGCTTGTATAAGAAAAATTTATTCAGTACATTATAGTATTGAAATGCACACCATCGTGTCAGGATTCAATATTTCAAAATTAATTATGTCATCATCAGGAATGATTCCTGATTATACTGTAGTATTGATCTTCCATCAGATTGTGATAAAAACAGAAATTACAAAAACGCATAAAGAAATACATAGAATTTACGTTTGCTAACACTTATGCTAATTTTCTAGTTTGTCATCCGGATCGTGTGCATCTGAACCTTTTTTTTTTTCCATGTTTCCCATGTATCCAACAGCAAGTACTCTATAAGAATGGAATCATTTAAATTCCTGGTATTATTACCACTACCAAAAATAGTATCAGCCAATGCCAGTATTTTTAGCAAATTTGACCATTTTTCCAAAGCTCGCAAAGAGTGCCTATGTATCAAATTGACATGTGTTATACACTAAAAGAACAACAAACATCTCACCTTTACATGGGTATGAAGCACTTTATTCAAATCACAATTTATAACCCTATAACAGTAAAACGAAAGTAACTCACTGTAGGGGTTTTACTCATATTCACACATAATGAAGCTGAGATAATTGCGTTTCAAACATGTCACCATGAAATATGAGGTCACTGAAAATAAGTCACATTGAAATAGCGAAGCGTATGTGGTTCCGACTGTTTTAAACACTTTATAGATTTTATCGAATTCCAGGCATTCCCCTCTACCATGTAAAAAAATAAAATTAATTTGGCGTCAAAGTGTTAAAACAGAAGTTCAAGTTAACATTTCAAAATTACGTCATTTCATATTTTTGTGCTAAAACTAAATTATGGCTTGAAGTATTTAGCCCACTAACATGGTTTTTCTTTGTAACACACGATAGATTGAAAAGAATAAAACCGACTGTCTATGTAGGTCTGATCTTTGGTGTGTTCAATTAAAGAAACATAAATTTTAGCTTCCAGGGTAACATTGACAACAATAGTTTCTGATTTTCAAAATATCACTTGTGTTTCGATCATGTAGCTTCACCATAACAAAACCTTGTATTATTAGCAGTATCTAAAAATGATAAAACAATATGTATCTACAGAGTTTTTACAATTTAGCAACAATTGCTACAGTAGAGAAATGATACTAAATTTTGTAATGAATAAAGGGAGAGGTATAAATTGTTATACCTCCCTGGGCTAAAGAAAGCCTAGGTCGATATATTAGCCACTATTGATGCTGTCAGATTTCTTAATAAAAGTTTGCATCAGTTTACTATAGGATGCATTTTAGGGTGCAAGATACAAGGTCACAAGCGAGATAACATTTCAATTTTGCAGTCCATAAAGGTAATGATTATAATGTATTAGCTTTATACTATGCCTACTTCTGGTCTGCTGTACATTGAAACCAAAACTAATATTTACTTAAACAAGATAATAGGTGCTGAACCTTAAAACTGCTGAATAAACTGTACACTCAATTTTCCATTAAACTTTTACTTACCCTTTAAATTAATATTGCAGAACAGTCATCCCTTTCCCCCATGCTTTTAATGTCTCCAAAACCATAAACATCTCCCCATTCAAGAAAAAACTTCACCGTTATATATAAATTGAATTGAATTGATATCAGAGGGGGAGGTGAGCAAGAGTTTATCAAGGTTTATCTCGTTCATAGTCTCTCGATTTAACTGCGGATTGTGTAGTCTTTGAATAGTTACTTGGATACTACTTCTGTAACAGTAATTACTTATATAGCACCTGCAAGTAGTACAGTAATTCAAGAAATTAAGAAAAAAAATCTAAAAATATTTTAAAGCCCTATTCTCAGCAAAATTTCACTAAAAAAGAATTTCTTTAGAAAAAATGCATATGCATTTCTCTAATATTAAATAAACCATGAAAAAACCTTGCCATGTTAGTTTTACGCAAAAGATTAAAAAATAAATGAGAAATAGAGACTATTTTGCATAGGAGATTACCATTTTCTCCCCAACTTCTTTGCTATATATGGCAAGTTCAGAGATTGTAGATCGCATCCACTGGATGCTCTCGCTTTTGTATATACTTTACCGTCAATAAAGTGCGCCCTCTCTAATGAGATTAGTTTTAATACTTCGCATCTCGCACACTGTGGTCGATCGAGTAGGCCTGAGATGTTTGTTTAATTGTCAAAGTCTGTGGTCAGAATCAGTTTTTTTATAAATTTGAAATGATTCCAACGAAATATTATATTTCACAATACTAGCAACGGAAAATTTCATGTTGGCCGTTTTTATGTCTGATAACCTACAGTAAATCGAGATAAGGCTAGCCTACTGTAGCAGTGTTGATACAGTAGGCTAATGTTCCCGGCGCTTAATATATTTCTTTGCAGACCTATCGCAAAATCACTTATATTTTTTGTGTAGAACACAAAAAATCTAATTTCAGTCCTATTTTACATTTTGTTCATGTTTAAGAGAATATCTAAATCCAGTTAAACTAGCAATTATATTTATAAAATATGTTAATATTTATAACATTTGAGGCATGTTGTGGCAATATGGCTAAGTAAAAGTTGTAGCAAAAATTTTTAGTTACTGTTATTTTCAGGTACCTCAATGTGTAATCTTTAAAATGAGGTGTCAAACATGATTTTGAGTAATTGCCTTCCAAAGTTATTTGTGCATACTGTACATTGTTTAATAGAATTAACTATCAAAATAATGTTATATAAAACAATTTTGTTGACCATTTCTAGAACTAATACTTTAGGACATGATTAAAAAGACATTAAACTGTAGATAGTGAAAAAAATATTTGGATTTTTAGGCAGTTTTTTAGCTCCCATATTTTATTTACTCAATACTGACCTGTGCGACAACTTTAAATTCCATTTCGCCACGGCATGCCTCGTATATAAAAGTCAGATTTTTCTTAACAACTGAAATTATTCCAGGAATGGGGCTTTAAATAAAATAGACCTGCATGTATTATGAAAATAGCTGTTATTGTCTGTAGAATACCAGAAGTGACTGGTACTATGCAAAAAAGGGACACATGAAGTAACTGTTCTTCGAACATTTTGCAGGTTGTGCAGGGGAAAGAGTAATGTGCAGGAGTAATTTATAATAAACCATAATATTTTATTAGATTATATTTCTTCGGTATCATACTAGAAAGCACTGTACTTTTGATTAGTAAATTAGCCCAACAATGGCACTATAACAATGCATCATATAAAGAACATATTACAGTACAAGTAAAATATATTGATTTATATATAATCATCAATTGAATTATAATTTTTTTTATTATTATTATTATTTCATCTTTGAATTGATGTTATATTGTGATTTGTCGATGGAAAAACAATATGCATATGCATGGTAAATATAGCCCCAGAAAAAATGGCCCTGGTAAAAATGACCACAAATGACTGGTCAGTAGAAATAGCCCAATGATAAAATATTGTAACAAACCTGATTTTTTTTTTTTTTTTTAATCTTCCGATTATTTAAATGCTGCAAAATAGCAAAAATTAAATCAATATTAAAATGAATATCAATCATGCATTTTATATATGCAAATATATGATTTTTTTTTAATTGCAACTTTTACATTATAAATTTTAGTACTTTGAATCATACAGTAAAAATTTAATCAATTTACATCATCTGTTTGTCATTTTAAATAAAATAATTTAATCCATCAATTCTTCGAGTCGAGTGGCCGAGCGGTATGGCAGGGGCGCCGCTAGCATGAAGCCTCAACATCTGCGCTGGTTCCAGCCGCTCGTCGCCCATGGTTCAGTTGGTACAGAACAAAGTCTTCTCGGATAAGGACTTAAAATGGAGGTCCAGTGTATACATCTTGCTCGTGTGCACTTTAAAGAACTCATTGCATCTTTCCGAAGAGTAGGGGGGTTATCCTGATGTTATGGTTCGTTTCAACTCTTGTCGTTGTGGAATGATGTGAACATGTATCTACCAAGAAGCACCTAGTTACAGCTGCTAGGTAGTCACAGACCACGCCCATATATGCAATACAGCGCAATGACGCTGCAAGTTATGGGTTATTCTCCTACAGTACCTTTACCTTTTCCGGGGGTCATTTTTCCGGGGCCAGTTAATTTCCGAGGCCATTTTTACCTACATTCTACTGTAGCAGTTGACAACAAAGCTTTTAGTGTGAGCCTTGAAACCAAAGTCAAGTTGCATTATGAGTAAAAGGAAATCATACTGAGACACTCATGTCTAAGTTGTATTAAACAAAGGGAGATATGACTCATTATATTCACTTCATATTCTGATGGACAGTCCACATCACATAATGATAGCAATTTAAACAATAATAAGGAATGCTGCAAATAGTCCAACATACTGTACCATAATCCAAAAATTTAAACCATTGAACTACAAAAACATGGCATTTCAAATATATATATTTTTATTTTCATTCGAATCCAAGAACAATTGAGTCTCCATTTGCATGATGGATTATGATCTCAACCCCGGGTATTCAACCTTTTTAAGATGGCCATGTCCTATCGCTTGACACCAGTGGTGGGCCGACATAAAATGTGTAGGCCTATATTTGATACAATTTTTTCAATGTCAGGCCACCCATTCTTTTTATATTATAGGCCTACAAGTCTTCCTATGCCTATTGTGTTTTTTAACATCAACTGTGATAGGCCTTCATTGTGAAAATGAGGCAGTGCCATAGCGTTGGAAGGGTGGGGATACAAAAACAAATTGTACCCCAAGTTCTACTAACTAGGTGCCAGCATCCTGCAAAAATAAAATGAATGGCAAAAAAGAAAAGTCAAAAAAGCCATTTAGATAGAAGAAATTTAAGACCATAGAACATTAACAGAGACTAAGGAGCATGCTAGCGGACGTATTACTGTATATAAATTGTGATGGGCTGCTCTTTTCGAGAACTCAATGCAACCCTGGCCTGCAACAAAACAACAGTAGATACCGACGGTAGAGGTTGCACTCCACCAAGCGACCGGAACTGATAACATGGTTGCTGATGAAGTGTTCCATGATAGCTCTTGAAATGTTGCAAATAATTTTGGTTTGATACATTAGTACATATGTAAACCAGATACAAATTTAAATTATTCAAACATTATATATTTTTTATAGGAAATTTCTTGTACTTTGTTGGTAGAAGCGAGTACTTCCTGTTGGCAGGCAGATTGATAGCAGGTACTGTACAGTAAACTGCTGAAAATTATACACAATACACCATTAGTAATAAAACATCATTGTTTTTTTTTGTTGCTTAAAGTTTTATAGTATGTAAATGTTAACACGTTCGCTGCCAGCAATGAGTACACCATGTGCTGTTGAGGGCGCTAGTGACAACTATACTCGTCAAAACCGGGGTAACATTCTAGAATTTACTAAGTATTACTACTTCATTGTTAAAGTTATACATTGTAAAACCACAGACGTAACGGCTGATAGTTTGGGGAAGGTGGGGATTTTATGTTGTCGTGTTATGTTGCCAGCAGTACAAAAGATTTGCCCGAGTGGGGGTGCCCTCCGAAGAGAAAACTCGCACTTGACGGTGGCTATAGAAAATATTGTCCCATTACCAGCGACGAGTTTACTAGTCACCATTTTCCCGCCAGATTATTAGACACCATTTCGATGATGATTTGAGATTTGGTAACATTTCAAGAAAGTATGTTTGTACATGTGCAGTTTGTTTTGGCATATGGGACAGAACCTTAAAGGAAGGATCTGGCAGTGAACGTGTTAAAGATGTACTGTCCCTTGCAAAAAACAAAAAAAAAAATCATTTTTGAAATTTACTTGCCCATTTTTAAGTTCCGTAACATAAAAATTATCAACTTGAACATAGAAATTAATGTATTTAAAAAAAATGCTTACCCATAAAAACCATCATTTTACAGCAAAAAAATGATAGAAACACTTCCAGTCACTGGAAGTGTTTTTATTATCTTTATTATAATTATCCAATTAAAAAATCAGGGAACACATTTTTTAAATTTAATTATGTCTATGCCAAGTTAATAATTTGTATGTTACTGCAAAATGAGCTAGTTAATTTATTCTTTTTTATGATTTTGGTCATTTTCAAGGGACAGTACATCTTTATACAACATGAACATTAGCATTAATTTTTGAAAAATAATTATGAAAATAAGAATTTAAAGATGTATTTTCCCATGCAGAATACAATTATCACATAAACATAGAAATTAGTGTATTTAAAGATGTACAGTATTGTCCCCAAAAAATGACAAAGTGTAATAAAGATATGTTCTCCACTAAAAATGAAAAAAAAAATAAATAATTTTCTCATTTTTGCAGTGACATACAAATTATTAATTTGTGCATAGAAATTACAGTATTGAAATTTTAAACATTGTATCCTGATTTTTACGTTATTATAAAAGTAGTAACTGTTGTTTCTATCATTTATCACAGTAAAATTATGGGTAAATATTTTTTAGGTACACTAATTTCTATTTTCAAATTGATAAATTTTATTTTGCTTCAAAATAACCAAGAAAAAAAATCAAAAAGGAGTTTTATGATGTTTTTGAAATTTTTGAATAGGACAATACATCTTTATAAAAAAGTTTTTTATTATTTTCATTATAATTTTCCAGTATAAAAATCATAGTACACATTTTTTTATTTTAATAATTTCTTGCTCAAGTTAATGTATGTTGATATTGCAGATGAGCAAGTTAATTTAAAAAATAATACATCTTTTTAAAACATTACCTGGATAATCATTGTCTTTACGTTACTTTTTAATTAAAGTTACTTAATTTTTTATTAAAAGCCATTTCATTTAATCTGTGATGTCATTAAGTAAATTTCTGTTTTAAAAAATGTTGCTTTTTTCATCACACAGGTGTTGGCGGAGGAGTCATGGCAACTATTTTTGCTCAGATATCGCGTACCACTCATGTAAATCAACGCACAGCTGTGATATCCCTTGCCATGGCAGCTCGACAATTTGGCCTTCTCTTTGGGCCTGGATTTAACTTGTTTCTCTCCAAGCTTGATTTCTCCATTGGTCCGTTCGTGGTCAATGACTACACGTCACCTGGGGTAAAGTTCTGTTGTCCATATGTATTGTAATTTTTTAACATAGAGCAATCTATTTAATAAATCATATTCTGTGCACTATGGATACAATCTCTGTGTTAAGATAAACTTATTTATCATGACAATTAAGGCAACATGTAATTTGGTTGCTTGATGTTCTAAAACTGTAAACCAAACGTGGGCAAAGTGCAGTATGTGGGCCATGTGTGACCCGAACAGTGGTGTATCTAGGTGTGGGTGTGGATAGTGCATGCTACCCCAAATAAAACTTGCACCCCTCCCCCCCCCCCCAGTCATCCCCACAAAAATATAAAATCACTCAAATGGTTGAAAATCAACTCAAATCACCTTATTTTGTAAGCTAGCACCCCCTCCCACCTAATCATTGATCCCCCTCCCACCTAATCATTGATCCCCTCACACGTTACCTTCACGCACCCCATCAGCTCCCATTTTAAGATTCCTAGATATGCCACTGGGCCAGACAGAAATTATGTTGGCGCCCCTACAAAAAAAGAAACCCTTCGCAAGGTATCGTCATCATCATCGTCTCATATATATATATATATACACAATTTCGCAAACTTGTTTATTGATGCATTTCATTGTGTGTTCTTCTTTTTCAGTTATTTATGACAATTATGTGGATAATACTTCAGATACTAATGATCTTTATGTACTTTGACCTTCCAATGGTTGTCGATGCAGCAGAATTTGCTGATCCAATCAAAAGCCAAGGTTCCCCAGAAGATGGCACCATAGCGAATGGAGTACCGACACAGGATGGGCAGTATTCGAGACGTCCACAAGTTTCTTCTAAAATGGAAACTGCCATTGAGAATATGCCGATAAGCATCAGCGGAAGTTATGAAGAATCCGATGCCATCCGAGCTGCTAATGGAAGACTTTCGGTGCCTTCGCCTATTAGTTCAGAACCGTCTCTCACTACATCATCCAATTTGAGAAACGAGATAAGGGCAAATAAATCTCTTAGCAATTCAGATTATATTGTTAATGATGGAGGTGGTCGAGCATCTAGTTATGGCGCCATCAGTGTGAACAACGAGGAAAGCCAGATAAAGGAAGACGTAGAAGTCTCCCTCATACTGAAAATGAAATACAAGGACATGACGTTTTTCCAAAAGTTAAACGGTAATAATAGGAAGCCTTCGATTTGGGCGGCGACGTGACGATAGAACGGAATCGCTCATGCGGGACCGTCTTACCTTGTGTCCTACGTTCTCTGCATAAGTAGATTTGGCCAAATTGCATCCTAGAAATCCACGCGACGAGGAGAACTTAACGTTCTCCCATGCGCAGATGACTTTCAGTGACGTCATTACGTTCTACGTCTTATCGTCGTCGTGCAATCAAAAGCTCCCTAATATCGGTGTTCTACAGGATAGCGCTCCTGATATCTGTGCAAATAAGTTACGTTTCATGCTTTCATTCAGTAACTCCACCCCAAATGCACTCAAAGCAAAAGCAGTAAATCTAGTATCACACTGGAAAAACATTTGGCAACAAGTAACAGCGCCACCGATAATCAGACGGAGTCGTGTCATCTAGCACTCACGGAAAGCGGAGTTGGAGCGGTCATACGACCGTTGTATGATGCAGTGAGTGGCAACTTTAAGCTACTGTAGATTTACATTAGACACGATAACGACACAACAATGACGTATCATCACGTAGTTCGTATTCTTCAACACTGTTTGCATCCATATTGTGTCGTCGTGTCGTAATCGCGTCTAGTGTAAATATAGCTTTAGAATGGCCAATTAGCAACAACATGCCTTTAATAGACACCTTTTCACAAAGAACAAAAAAAATTATGTATAAATACGAAGTACACGGAAATACATATAGTAAGATTTCTATTAAATATATATTTTTTTAATTTTATAGAACTTATAAGGGAAGAAATTGTTGTGATATTGTTTGCTCAGTTTGTGTTCCTCTTCAATCAGACAGCACTTGAGGTAAGTGTATTATGAATAATGGGCAACTGGTCACCGCAACTCCTGGCAGTATAATTTAATAATAGTCTAATTATATAAAACAGGGTGACTGATTTATGAAGCAATTAGGCACGTTCACATACTGTAAGTTATGATATGTTCATCATGATAACATTTGCATGTTAGAGAAAACCGTTCATATAGAAATCATGATCTATTTATGCTAATGTGTGCAGTGTTGCATTTTTTTTTTTATAAAGTGCACTTGCGAACAGGGGCCACACCGGTTGCAAAAAACACACCCGATGGGCCAATCAATGGTTTTTTTTTTTTTATATGTTGCTTTTGCTGCTATTTTGTGTCATTTAATTTATGTTATTGTTATTGTTATTATTTTATTTAAAATAATTTAAAGTCAAATTTTAATAAAACTATCAATGCATGATTATATTCACTCTTCTAGGCTTGTCTGACACCAATAACACAGAAATACCTGTCATTTGGAGAAATAGCCAACAGTCTGTTGTTCTGTGCTGCAGGTATAGAGGTAGGCATCCCCCCCCCCCTTTTCCATCTCATGTCCACATCTTTATTTGTATGTCTCACATTTTATAATAAAATTACACCCATTGTTTTGTGTCATATAAGGCTGGTCGGTCTAATCTTAATCTTAATATTAAAATAATTTTTAATATTAAGAAAAATAATTACTTATATATAAATCTGTGAAGTGCCATTTCTATGCCATTTTAATGTTTCATTTTTATATAGAGTAGATTTTATATTATAATTACCTTGCATATGCTTGTTAAAAATAAACAATCATCGCCTGTGACTTAAGATAATTGTTCCCTAATTTTGTAATTTACTATTGTATTTTTAATTAAGAATGAATCTCCAAACATTAATAGGTCATCATGGGCTTTTTCCTGGTGCGCTGGATGAGTAGACGATGTCAGGACAGGACGCTAACAATTATCGGACTGTTAGCTGAAATAATACCATTGATTATATTGCTCTACTTTCTTCCACAGGCAAAAGCAGGTAAGACGAATAATTATACACCTGCCAACTCTCACACGTAATGTTTGAGTCTCACATATGAGCATTCACTTTTTACGTCCCACACCTATGTTTCTTATATGCATCTTAAAAATATTTGTAAAAGTTGAAATGTATACGCCAATTTTATCGTAAAATTCATACCTTTTAATCGCCAAGAGATTTCTTTTGCCTGACAAGCAGATCACCTAACTTGTCCTTAGTGGCGTGTTCAAATCTAGTTTAAATTTATTTTTATTACGTCTTGTATCCCTTGAAAAAATGCATGCTATAAATTCCTGTATTATTATTATTATACTGACATTGTTCTTAACCCGCCTCTCTATATGAGGGTTGTTTGCAGTGCCGAGTGATTTAAAACCCAACGCTGGCCAGGTTTAAACAGGGGTCTACAGCACACGAAGAAGCAGGAACAATATTTCGGCCAACTGATGATTTGCAGCATCCAGAAAATTAGTATAGTCCTGCTTTTAATTTCTTATTAACATTATGTTTAATATCTGATTTTTATTTGTTTTGCCAGATGATCGGGACAGTAATATTGTATGGTTGATGACATCAATTTTTATGCAAGTCATAGGATTACCATTCATCGCTGTGGCTTCTGTTGCATCATTCTCCAAGATGGTACCTCTACGGATACAAGGTTTAACTGTCACATAAATAATAATAATAATAATAATATGTTAAGCCGGACACTCACTGCGAATCCACATTTGCTTCCCGCGGGCGGAAGACGACGCAATGCCGTCTGCTGATTGTCAGTGGTAATCTGAACGGATCCTCATTAAAAAGATGACCTGTTGGGTCCGTGTCTTCGCATGCGTGGCGGGACAAATGTGAAACCTACTCGTCTGATCAGAAAAGAACTTCATTTGGTGTCCCAAGTGCAAAAGTAATTTATGAAAGGTTTCTCTCTTGTTGAAACCACTTGGTTCGACAAGAAAGAAACATTTCATAAACTATTCTGCTGTGATTGCGCCAGAGCGGAATCGGATGATTAACTTTGCACTGTTTGCCACTTCACCTTAAAAAGTAATCTTAAAATACGCAAAGCTCTGTCCACGCTATCAACTTTTTGTATGCCCATATATAGTCATGATGTGCCTATATATGGCCGTGGTGTGATGTCATCATGACCATATTTAGGTTTTCGCATGTTTTTGTCAAATAGAATATGATAGAACTTCTTTTTAGTTGATATGAAACACGCAGCGGCATTGGATGTAATATTGCGATATTTTATTCCACTTTTTCATTACGTTCACCTTGCCTTTTGTTTACTTGAACCTGGCATTTAGAGACCATGTTTATTTGCACCTTATATAGATTGATTTATTATTATTGTTGTTATTATTATTATTGTTATTATTATTATTGTTATTTATTA